CCTGTAGGACAGAGTAGAACTGCCCCATAGGGTTTCCAAGGAGCGACTGGTGAATTCAAACTGCTGACCTTTTGGTTAGCAACCATAGCTCTTAACCACTGTGCCACCAGGGCTCCAGGTTAAGCCTAGTGTCTTTGAAATTAGAGTGACCTGGGTTCGAAATCTGGCTCCTTCACTTTCTAGCTGTGTGACCTCAAGCAAGTCGTTAACTCTTCTGTTTTCTCATCTGTAAGACAAACCAAGGATACATAAAATTAAATTAAATGATTAAATTAAAAAATAAATCTACAAAGGTTTCCTATCTTTAAGGAGCAGCAATTTTAAACCTCAGTACCAAATATCCTTTTAAAAATAAATTAAAAATAAAAACTCTAAGAAAAGAAATAAAACAGAGAGAAAAATAAACTAAAGGGGCATAATCATGGCACCTGCCTCAGCCGGCTATTGAGAATGAGACAGGGCTTTTGCCTATAATGTCTGTGGCGCAGAGTGAAGTCTCAACACTCAGTCAGCGTAAGGGCCAGAACCAGGTTGCTGACTCCCCGTCCAGAGCGCCTCCTGCTTGCTGCGCCTCAGCTTCCTTTCTGTGGAGCGAGGGTTGGTCCAGGGCCATCCTGGGGATGGCATTTGAGGCTCTTCTCCAGGAAGTGTTTTTTTTTTTTTTTGGCGTGAGGGAGATTGATTACTCTCTGGGACTGAGTCAGACTCAGGGGTCCAGTTGCTGAATCTGTTTTAGTTCTCTGGGTGGGCAGACCTCACCCAGGGGGCTGGGAGCAGTCTGACGTGGTTGGGTGCTGGGAGTAGGCACAGAAGCCTTCCTAGGTCCCAATTTCTGTCCCAGGTCACCCCATGGATTCCTCCTGCCCCAAAACCGAGGTTTAGAGGAACCAAGGAGAAGCTCACAGTTACTCTCCTCGATATCACCCCAGAAAGTATCTTCCGTAGCCCTTCCGGTCCCTGCCCTGAAGCTGAGGTGGAAGTAGGGTGGGGGTGCCCCTAAATACTCTCTAGGTCAGCAGGTTTCGCAAACGTCACGTGGGTAATACATTCTGTATCCTGGCGGCCGAGATCCTGCCGTCGATTTTTCTTTATTGTATTCCTTCATATTTGAAGCCGCCATGCATTTTAAAGTAATTATTGAATGGCATCCTCGATATAGCTTAACACAAATATCATTCTAACAGGGCTGATTGATTTTCAATACTTTCAAGTGGCTTTCTCCCTTGTGCTGCAGGATCAGCTATAAGACGGCGTATCGGCGAGGCCTGCGGACCATGTACCGGCGGAGGTCCCAGTGTTGCCCTGGCTACTATGAGAACGGAGACTTCTGCATCCGTACGTAGGGGCGGCCGTTGTTCTGGCCTCATCGGGGCAGGCAGAGGAGGGAGGGTGGGGAGGGGAGGAGAGGGAAGACCGGCCTTCATGGCCCTGGGCAGCAGGCCTCAGCCCAGCCAAGGGCTCCAGAAGTCTCTGTCTGTTGCCAGTCCTCAGAGGGAATGATGGGTCTCGTGCAAATATGTTGGCACAGCGCTGTCGACCGGATCAACCTCCTTACAGGGTGGAAAGAAACAGCTCAGTTCTAGACTTTGATGGGGGGCCAGGAGAGAAGCAGACAGTTCTAGAGTGGATGCTCTGAAGAGCGAGGGGGCGAACCACTGAGTGCCTGGCACAGGACTGAGGCCATGGTAGGTGCTCAGGAAGGCTTTGTTGGATGGCGGAAGGGAGGAGTGGATAAATGGATGGAGAGATGGATGGATGGGAGGAAGGGAGGGAGGGAGAGAGGAGAGAAAGAAGGAAGGAAGGAAGGAAAGAAACAAGGAAGGAGGGAAGGAGGAGGGAAGGAAGGATTGTTGGATGTCAAGACCATCATACCTAGGAGGAGGACAGCAAGAGTAAGACAGATCGTAAGGGACAGGTTCCAGGAGGTGGAGGACTTCCAAAGAGGAGAGGGGGACACTGCAGAGAAGGTGGGTGCATGAAAGACGAATGTTGCCTCTTTCCTTGTTTGTCCGCAACAGCTGATAAACAGAAGCCTTAGTGCCCCGGGAGAGGCAAGGGCTGAGTGGTTACAGCTGCAGGCTCTCTGGGTGGGGGCGGTGTGGTGCTCTAGAGACACCACGAGCAGGGCCTGCAGATCCGGGTTCTGGTCCCAGATTCCCAGTCACTTCACTCTCTGGGAGAATGATTGTAGGGTCAGAGTCTAGTGGGCACGTTCCCCACTCACCTCCGACCAGCGGAAGGGACCCTGCGGGGCTTCCAGCGGGAATCGAAGGTCTTCTTGCTCCAGGAGAGTGTTAGAGAAGTGGGGCGCACCTCGTTTAATTAATGACTGAGAGCAGAAGCCACCCCCAAAGCTTCTGCCTCTTCGTTTAGAGAGTGCCTTTCCTCGTTAGTATTCCCCTTGCTGTTCAGGTGGGGAGAGCGAGCTAGCACCAGAGAGAATTTGGGCAGAGTAGGCGTGTTGATGTTGGGAATGAAATGACGATTTTCCCCGTCTCTTGTTACATCTCCCCTAAAGCCGGAGAAACTCGATCCTAATTGCATTACAGGAATGAATGAAAAATCCTCCTGCAAATGGGTTCAGTAGTGATGGTTTTGCAGCAAAAATGCAAAGAAACTCACCCAAAAACAAACCCCAGAGGCCGTTTCTCCGGAGCACGGCAGACGACTGGGCTGGACGAGGCCTTGGCCAGTGTGGGATGGGGTCGCTAAGGGGACCCAGGGCTTTGCTGCTGCTGTCCTATCCGCCTGGAGCGGAGCGACAGCCAGGTTGGGAGGGGGACACGGGACTCCAAAAGCTGGAGCAGGACGGATGGGAGCGGCCCTTCTGGGCACAGTGATGGCCTCAGGGAAGTTGTAAAGGGAGTTCGGACATCAGCGTGGGGCTCCAGGAGCGCGTGAGCACGCTCACTTTCTAATTGCCATCGGTGGACCTTGGTGAAGAGCAGGGTGGAAGCGCTAAGAGTCCTGATTGCACAGGCTCTTCTTGCTGATGGGGAAGGGCAGTTTCTAACCTTCCAACCTACTGCTTATGTAATGGCCAGGCACTCCCTGCTGAGCTGGTGGCCATAGGCCAGCCCGCGGGGAAGCCACTTTCAGGACTGAAGGCTTTTCCCTGAAGGGGACAGAGAGTCTGAGTAGTGAGAGGGGACATTGTGGCACCCTGGGTGCCGGTAGGGATGACACAGAACGGCAAAACTCACACAGGCCTACTCCTCACAACAGCCCTGTGAGGCGGTTATTGTTGTTAACCCCATGGTGACCCCATTCACAACAGAACAAAATGCTGCCCAGTCCTGCACCATCCCATGATTGGTGGCAGATTGGACTGTTGTGGGCCATAGGGTTTTCATTTGCTGATTTTCAGAAGTAGATCACCAGGCTTTTCTTCCTAGTCAGTCTTAGTCTGGAAGCGCTGCTGTGAAGTAAGTACCATTATTTCCCCCATTTCACAGATGGGGAAACTGAGTCACAGACCAAACACGTGGCTAGAAAATGGCAGAACTTGGATTTGAAGCCAGGCCGTCTGGTTCCAGAGTATGTTCTCTTAATCACTTGGACAGGCTGCTTCTGTCTTCATGAGCCTAGGCAAGACTTGAGCTCTCTGACTCTCAGCTTCCATTGAAGTAAATGGGGATAATACTACCTACACCATCAGGCCCAGAGTAGGAGCTTAATGTTAGTTCCCTCCTCTATGGCACTGGTTCTTAGCATTTTTTCCGTCTTGGCTTTTATTTTAATTTCTCAAAGGGGTACATGGACCCCCTCTCTGGGAAAATGCATACTACATATTTAAACCTGCACATACACACAACCTTTTGCACACAGTTTCAGGGGGCTCATGGATCCCTTGAGATCTCTAGGCGGTCCATGGACCCATGGTAAATCATGTGCCATATGCTCATGTTTATCCCTTCAACAGATTTACTGCCTTCTTGGGTGGTGCAAATGGTTGATGTACTCAGCTGCTAATAGAGGTTGGTGGTTCAAGTCCACCCAGAGGCACCTTGGAAGAAAGTCCTGGTGATCTACTTCCAAAAAATCAGCCATTGAAAACCCTAAGGAGCACAATTCTACTCTGACACATGTGGGGTTGCTGTGAGTTGAAGTGGTCTCGATGGCAACTGGCTATCAGACAGGATGGGTTGGGCTATGCTGCAGTAACAAACAACACTCAATTCCTAGTGGCTTACAACAATAAAGTTTTATTTCTTGTTCGTATATTACATGTCCATCGTGGGCTAGCTGAGGCCTGCGCCTTGTTAACCTCACTCCAGGATCCAGACCGATGGAGCAGCAACTTTCTGGAATGTTGGTGGTTGCTGTGACAGAGAGGAGCCCTCGGGAGCGTCAGAAGGCAGAGGGCCAGAAATAGCTAGTGAACAGTAAAATACCTGGCACAAGCCCCATGCACATGCTACAAACCAGAACCTGTTGTTGAATCAATTCCAACTCATAGTGGCCCTGTAAGACAGAGTAGAACCACCCCATAGGGTTTCCAAGGCTGTAATCTTTATGGAAGCAGACTGCCTTATCTTTCTCCCGTGGAGCGGCTGGTTGGTTCGAATCACCAACCTTTTGGTTAGCAGCCGAGCCCTTAACCACTGTGCCACCAGGGCTCCTTACAGATGCCACAGTAATTACAATTCACAATTCATTCAAATCTATTGTTAAGCACCTAATAGCCTAATATGAGACAGGCCCTGTGTGCTCTACCCCAGTAGCTCTCAAACTGGACGTGCATCAGAATCATCTGGAGGGCTTGCTACAACATAGACTGCTGGGCCCCACCCTCAGAGTCTCTCATTCAAAAGATTTAGGAGTGTGGCCTGAGAATTTGCATTGCTAGCCAGTTCCCAGGCGATGGGACTGGGATGACGCTGGACTGGGAGGCATACTTTGAGAATCACTGGTTGACATTATGCTAAGTGATAGTTGCAAAGAGGCCCGAAGGATTGCTGTATTTTCCGTAGTAAGCCCCTGAGTAGCGAGCAAGGAAGGCGAATTGATATACCTTATCCCCCGCCCTGTTTGCCCTTGGTCAGTCTTCCTCATGTGGAGTAAACCCCCATACTTACGGGTTGTGTCTTCTGACCATTTCAGTGGCCACTTGTAATGCCAAAGGCCACCCCTGCAGTCGGGGGCCTATCTGCGGAAAATAGCGCCTATAGCAATTAGTTTTAAATTGCTGAATGATCTCTCACAGCTGGCAATGCGAACTGCAATGGCCAAGAGAAACTGCTCATTAGCGCCCCTCCTCCAGCAGTGCCCAGGGCACATGCGCTACCTGGCATACCTGAGTTACACCTCTGCTTGCAGTGTGGATTTCGTACGAATCCAGAAGTGGAGGGATTAGCCAGAAACTTTAGGCATGTGGCTGATGGACGCTGCTGGGCTGTGGCCTGGGGGACGATTTGACATACTCAGGGCACATACTTGGGTGGGCCCAGGAAGAGGGACTTTGCTGGCCCCGGTGGAGTTATTCTGCATGGTGGTGGCTGAGGTGAAGCAACAGCTGAGGGTCCAGGAGATGGGTGGCACTGAGGGACTCTGAGGAGGTACATCGCTTTTAAATCCAGGAAGCTGCTCACACCAATTCTTTGATTTAGGTTCCATTGCCCCTGTTTCATTATTGCTGTTGCTGTATACCAGTTGCCATCAAGACGACTCCAACTCATAGTGAACGCATGTATGCCAAAATAGAACTTAGTTACACAGGGTTTTCAATGGCTGATTTTTTGGAAGTAAATCACGAGGCCCTTCTTCCAAGGCACCTCTGGGTGGACTCAAACCTGAGCGCTTAACCGTTTGTACCACCCGGGGACTCCTGTTGTTGTAGAGTCAATTATTATTTAAATTTATTCATGTGTTTACTAAGTTCTTTGCTTACTATCTCTTCCTGTAACTCACTTCTTCCTTCTAGATTCAGCTTCATTCTTCCTGAAGGATTTTCTTTAATAGGAAGGAGGATCTATGAGTGATCAACTCTTACGCTTTGTCTGAAAATGTCTTTACTTTGCCCTCACTCTTGAACGATGGTTTAACCACATGTGAATTCTAGGTTTTCCATCATTTTCTTTCCACATTTTTTGGATACTGTTCTCGTGTCTTCTGGGCTTTGTTGTTGCAATGCTCTGAAGTTTTACTAGGCTCTGTTTGAGTGTGGAGTTATTTATACTACTTGGTCCTCAGAGGTCTGCATCATCGTCAAGCTAACGATTCATGTCCTCATCAGTTCTGGAAAATTCTCAGCCATGTCTCTTCAAATATCACCTCTTTTCTATTCTCTCTATCCTCTCCTTTTGGAGCTTTCATGTGTCGGACGCTCTTGTTCC